CATCTCGTGATATAAAGGCTATTTAGTTTGAAGATCAAATAACTTGTAACCTTTAATACCCACTGGATAACCAAGAAACACAAATGATCTTGCCCATAGATCAAACTTGCTTCTATTTGCTGTTAAGATGGATGCAAAAGCCATGCAACCAAAGTTTAACTTTTTATTTCAAAAAAAAAAAAGCCATGCAACCAAACTTTCACTTTTTATTTCAAACAAAAAAAAAAGCCACGCAACCAAACACTCGAAGAGAAGAATAATTGAAGCTACTTTTATACAGCAGATCATTCGATGATTTAGTGCGGAATAGAGGAGAAGGAGTTCTATTAATGAGGAAAACACCAGTAGCTATATATTTATTCCAAAAAGGAACCTGAGATTGTAAAAAAAAACTCGTGCAACATTCAAAAGATGTTGATGTTTCCTTTCAAACTTCTAAATTCTGTTGTGGAGTTTCTACACATGAAAACTGATCAATAACACAATGCTCTTTAAGAAATTCAGTGAGAGCAAGCTCTCAGGAATTGTCAAACCTTAAGGATTGTATTAAATTGTGTAGACACCAGCTGAAAGAAAGACTTTATTGCAAAAGGTGTATCTGATTTATGTTTGAGAAAGTAAATCCAAGTAAAACGAGTAGAATCACCAACAATTGTTAGAAAGACTTTGTATCCATTGTGTGGAGATACATGAAAAGGTCCCAAAATGTCATAGGGGCCAAGAGCAAAAGCATTTGAGGACAAATTATTATTTGAAATAAAAGGCAGCCGTTTTTGTTTAGCTAAAGTACATATACAACATGTCTGTTGAGTAGCACTCTGGAAGTTTGTACATGCTAGCTTAGGTTGCAACGATGCAAGCTTTGAAATGAAAAATATCCTAGCCTTCTATGCCATACATGAGCAGAAACTTTGTCAACCAAAATTGACTTATCTTGATGTTGTCTACCCACTTGCGCTCATACAATCTATTCCATTTCTTAGCCATGACAATCATCTTCTTGGACTAAATTTCCTGAATCGTACAATGGTTCGGAAGAAAAATAACAGTGAGTTGAGATATATTCAACAAAGACTCATTAAGATCAAATTGACTTTGAATTGAGGCACGTATATAACATCCTTAAGGAGCAAAGAAGGATTAATCCACCCATCACCATATAATCTGAAAAAATGAATTATTGGGCAAGGTAACCATGACTTTCTCTATAGGTTTCAATGAGACAAATTTATCAGCATATGAGCATATGTGTCTCGATGCACCTCTTGAATTATCAAAAAGAAAACATTATTGATCCAAAGTAGAGGATCCAGTAAAAGGATTTGACTCCAGATTTGGGAATAAGAATCATCCAGGCCCATCAAAAAAGATATAACGTGTTCTGATTGAAAATAATTGTTCAATTTAGACACACCACCACAAGTACATATACCGCAAGAATAGAGAGGTCTAAAATTGTTCAACTCCTCCACCAAAGCTTTCAGCTTCCTGAAATATTCACTAATTGAATTCTGGCCTTGTGTGTGATTAATCAAATGTTTACACGACTAAAAAATTTGAAGCCCGTTACTCTGTTGGAAATGGTCTCGGAGATCCGTCCGCCCTAATTTCGATGGCACAATCAAAAAGTAAGATACTGGCAGAAATTTCTTTGGATACAGAATTTAAGATCCAAGAAATGACGATATTGTTGTTATGAATCCAAGAACTTAATAAATTTGATCACTATCATCAAGTTTTGTGAGATCCATCAAAAAAACCGAACTTGATTTTCAAAACAAAGCAATAGACATAGCTCCACTCCAGGAGGCATAGTTGTCTCCTGTGAGCGGCTACGAGAATAACATCAATCCAAAGCTATCTGAATGGTTTAAGAAAGAGGAACTGGGAGGATTGTCAACTAAGCACTTACTTGATTGTAGTTGAGGGAAAAGCAACTCCATGAGAAACCAGAGGAAGCTTCAAGAACATCTTGTCGGACAAGAGAGTGTCTTCAAGAAGATCTTTTCAAAGAAGATGGTGTACTGAATGCTCGGATAGCATATATCAATTGAGAGAGAGAGAGAGATGAAAAATTGTTTGTTGAATAATGAATGTATGTATCGATGTTCCCCACATAATAGCATGGCCTCTCGCAAACATACACACTTTTACATGAGTACGTTAGAAACGAAAACAATTTAACAAGTGTCTAATAGAAATCTGCTGATTATAATATATGTTATGAATTTGGAATCTATTTCTTGTTTGTAATGTTGTCAAAAGATTTTGCTTCTATTTGTTTGCTTCTTCATTGTGCTTCATTTAGTTTGCTTCTCTCTCTTTGCTTGCAGGTTTTATCATGCATATGAAAACTACTTGACCCATGCATTTCCGGTCAGTTTGAGTCCTTCACTAATCATTCTAGTCCAGTTTGTGCTTTTCAATTTAGGTGAATTTTATGATGAGTTTTAATGCTATTGCTTTGCAGCATGATGAATTAAAGCCTCTTACAAAAAGCTTCACTGACTCCCTAAGCCAGCTTGGAAATCTTAAGGTAACTAGAGATTAATTGAGAACAAGAAAGGCAAATAGAAAAAAAATCACCAGTTGGTTCTCTGATTGGCAGCTTGAACACTTACCTCAAGACTACAATGGATCTGCCCTTACACTTATCGAATCGTTGTCCAGGTATCCTGCTTTACTTGAACAACAAATTTATATTTAATAAAATTGTAAGTCTAGAGGAGGACCTAGGTGAACTTCTAGATATTTTGGTGCATATGCTTTTGTGATTTTGTTTTAATACCAGAGGCAGTCCTTCACTTTATTTCAATGATAATCTCTTTTTATAAAAAATACACACAAACACAACAATCATGGCTGTATACCTCTAGTCTGTTATCCTTGTATTTGTACTGGTTTTGTTTTTAACCTTTATAGTAGTGTTTTCAAATTTGATGTGAAGTTATTTTGATAGAGTTCTCTCATCTCTCTGTCAGCCTTGTCATCATGGGTAACAACACAGAATTTGAAAGGGGAGTTCTATGGCTCTCTGAAAATTTAACATTCGACGTTGATGCCAGGATAAATCTTTTTGAGGTAACAAACACAGCTTGGTCTAGGTTGAGTGGTGTTGCTTTCAGGCTTTCAGCTTTTTAGTATATTACATTTTAAACTTGTTGAAGCTGAGAGCAGTTAAGGAGTTATAACGATAAGCTATAATGAGGCCAGAGAAAGTTGTTAACATGATATTACTGAAAGCTCTGATACTATTAAGCATCGCTGCATATTAAGTTTCTGATGGTGTTCTTTCTTGGTTTTCTATTGTGTAGTGCAACATAAGAGTTCTTGGGGGACTTATTTCTGCTCATATTCTTGCAACTGATTCTGCAAATAGGTTGGTTCAAGGATCTTACAAGAATCAACTACTTACATTGGCTGAAGACTTGGGGAGACGCTTTCTACCATCATTTGATACTCCTACAGGATTACCATATGCTTGGATTAACTTAAAGGTACCACCTGAAAAATGCTTAATGTCAAGTATGTTATATTAATTTAGTTTACAATTTGCAATGCATTTTTATTATATTTATCTTACTAGTTAGGTGATTGAATTTGATGCATTTCTTATCGTGGCCATAGGAAACGGTTGATGGTCATAAAAGCAAACCACCTTGGGAAAAAAAAAAGAAAGAATTTGGGTGTCTACATTTCGAAAGCTAGCTGTATTTACACTGCACTGAAAAATGTTCGTTCATTTCTTTAAAACTTGCTTTGTCTTTTGAACTGAAATCTTCTTTTTTATTTTTTGGAAGTATGCATCTCTTCTGTTGATTTTGTTTGTAAGAGGGATTTATGATTCTACATCAATGCAAAATTCTATGACAGCATGGAGTTATGGAGAATGAGACAACTGAAACAAGCACCTCTGGATGTGGTATGAGCCTTGTTTAGCACAACTTAAGATGATGACATTCTAAAACCACTGCTCTCAAATCGAAAAATTTCAACAGGTTCTCTAATTCTTGAAATGGGAGCATTATCACGACTTACTGGTGATCCTAGATATGAAGCTGCTGCTTTACGCTCTCTTCGTAAGCTTTGGAGCATGCGCAGTTCTTTAAATCTACTGGGTACAACATTAGATGTAATAACTGGGGAATGGATCGAGTATTCATCTGGTATAGGGGCTGGTATGTCCTTTTCGATATCTTATATTTTTTATGGGTAAGATCTTGAGTTGTGTAGCTCATGAGATTGCTCAAATACATCAGCTTAATTTTGTTTTGTCACATGAACTATCAGATTTCAAATGTATAGAAAATGCTTTTTGCTCCCTGAATGTTTAACTTGTCATCTCTGTTTCATAATTATGATGTTTCTGATTCTAAATTGCCTGCATTCCCTAAGGGGTTGATTCCTTCTATGAGTACCTCTTCAAGGCTTTCGTGCTTTTTGGGAAGGAAGATTATTGGAGAATGTTCCATTCTGCGTATCTTGCAGTGCAGAAATATTTCAGACACGGTCCTTGGTACTGCACCAATTACTTAAAGTACAACTATATTATTATATATCTTCAGTTCTTGTTGAGTCTAGTCTAAATTCATTTCACTAACAATTCGGGTAAACCTCTTTT